CTGATACCTGTGAACTAAGCTACTGCACTGCAGATGGTAATTTGTAATAGTTCTTTCATGTTCAAAAAAAAAAAAATAAATAAATAAATAAAGTGTAATTCTGGATATACCCTTGAAATCAGTCTTTAATGTTTATATTTAAGAAATAATTTTTCCGAGTGATTGGCTTGTCTGTGCAATGTCATAATGGCATCTGGGTGGACTTTAGCCTTTTAATTTTGATGAAGTATAATTATTTGCCTTTTTTTTTTTTTTAATTCCTTCCCATATCCTATTTTGTTTTTGCCTTGCCAGCCCCAATTTTGATGTTTTCCATTCAAAGTTTTATAGATTCAGCTTTTACACTTAGGACTAAAGTCTTTCTCAGTTGTTTTTTTGTTTTGTTTTGTTTTGTTTTTTACATCAGTTATTTTTATTTTAAAGAAAAAAAATAACAACAATGGTACAAAATCTCAAGATTTTAGGAGAGTAACAATGGTTAGTACATTGTGTAATGTTACTGCCAAAGTAATCTTTCTCAGTTTTATATTAAATATATTAATAACAGCTGTAAGATTTATAGCAGTACAATTCAGTCTTCACTATAGTCACCTGAAGAGCTAAAAGTGGAAAAAAAAAAAAATACACCTGGCATTTATCCCAGGTGGCTAAGTTAGACTCTTACTATTCTAATTTAACCTCAGTTAAATATTATACTTGTTAAATATTATATTAAATATTAACCTCAGTGAACCTTAATTTTCTCACCAGTAAAATGGGAATAAGAATATTTACTAAATCAAGTAGTTGTAAGGATTAAAAGAATATATCACTTACATAAAGGCCCATATGTGATGAGTAGCCGGTGATATTCAAATTTTATTTTTATACATGTGTTTAAGAATAGTAATAGTTTCTAATACCATTTAGATACCATCATTTTTATACCTTTTCATTAATTTGTAGCTATTTAATTTTTTATTTCTACCCTCCTTTATTTTCCCTGAAATTAAGCAGACAGTATCCTTTAGTCATTTAATGACTAAGACTGGTGCTTATAAAAAGCAGGCCTACCTCAGCCTTCTTATGACTTGGAGGACTTACTCTGTGCAGTCTCTCTTAGACTCAGCTACTTTCACTAGCCTAATGCCTTTTGCAGATTTTCAGAATTAGGCAAGCACAGAGAAAGAGATGATCCTTCCATCTGTGTGTTCCATTCCACCAAATACAGGAGGAAAATCAATTATAAAATCTCAAGGGAGGAAGGATTTATGTATCAATGTCAAGTATAGATTGAGTCTAGTTTCCCTAATACTTTTCCTTACATCCACAACTTTCATTCATTTCATTTTTCTTCTACCTTTTTAATTCTTTTATTTACCTTTATTCTTACTACAGCCTTAACTACAAACTGCAGCTTAAAAGGGAAGAAAGAGCTTGAATTATGTTTTGGCCATCTGTTTGTAAGACTGGAAAATCACATCATTTTGACTTAAATGAAATACTGTAGTTAAACTGATCCTATGGCACATTTCTCCTGAAAGCAGGGAATAATTCCTAAATCCCAGGAGGTCATTTAGTTAGCAGACATTTTAAGATAAGTAATTAAAGAACTATTTCGAGAGAGACTTTAGATCTTAGACATGGAACATTTTATGTCAGGTGCCACAACTTTTTTTCTTTTCTGATACATAAATGGAAAAATAACCCCTCAAATCTGGTGTGGGGGAGGGCAGAGAGAGTGGAGGAAGTAATAGTTCTTGTATTCCTTGAGTTGGTAAATCTAAGGACTTCAATTTTAATGGATTCAGAGACTGAAAAGAAGGTTCCCCCCAAAAAAACCCTAAATTTATAAAATCTCTGCTTTTCTTTTGTTATCTATCATTCATAATCTAAACAGACAGAATGCCTTTCAGTACATCTTTTGTAATTTCTAACCTCTTTAGATCTAAAGTCTTTTATATCTGTTTAAGTTTAGAAAGGCAAAATGAAGAAACCGACTTATCCATAACCAACAAACCTAGCTTATAGAAAGACAATGATTGTATTCTGGGTTTGACTTATGGCTGGGCCACTGTCAATTTTCTTTTCTGCAGGCATAATGTAAAGCCATGAAGTTGGGGTACTGTTTCTAGAACATGTGAAAAATCTTGGCAAACAGTAATTTAGAGCTGCTCTTAGATTCAGTCCAGGATTAGAGAATATTATTTGCTGTGTTAGTAACTTTTCTCATTGCTGAGAGAATATACCTATTTAGCTCACAGTTTGTGGAGGTTTCAGTCCATAATTAGCTGGCTCCAAGGCAGGGTGGTATGGCAGAGAGGCAATAGTTCATGGTAGCGAAAGATAACAATGAGAGCAAAAGGATGGAGCAAGCCTGTTTTCTTCTTTTATGCTAGCTGCATAGCACTCAACCAGTTGTCAGTAAAATGAAAAAAAAAAAAAAATAGCTTTCTCCCATTTATGTTATTTGTGGCTGACTTCAGGTGGGATCATAAGCTATTCTTCGCTTTTTAGAAGGGCACTTAAGATTTTTCTATTACAGATTGTGCTGCTATAAACATGGGTGCACGTATATCACTGTGGTATAATGTTCTTAAGTTTTCTGGGAAGATATCCATAAAAGGAATACCCAGATCAAATGGGACCTCTAATCCTACTTTTTAAAGAAATCTCAAAAAAAAAAAAAAAAAAAAAAAAAAAAAAAAAAATTTAAAAAGGGGCTGGTGAGATGGCTCAGTGGTCTAAAGCACCTACTTAGAACAAGCTAAGCTAAACAAAGCACAGGGACCACGGTTCAATCCCCCAGTGCCACCTGCCAGCCAGCCCCGCCCCCTGGTGGGCTGAGCTGGCCACACACACACACACACACAAATAAATTAAAAAAAGAAAGAAAGAAAGAAAGAAAGAAATCTCCACACAGATTTCCACAGTGGTTGCACCAGTCTATACTCCATGAACAGTGGAGCAGGGTTCCTTTTTGCTCACAGGCCCTCTAGCATTTGCTATTGGTTGATTTCTTTATAATATCCATTCTTTCCCAAGTAAGATGGAATCAGCATTATTTTAATTTCTATCTCTTGAATGGCCAGTGATGTTGAACAGTTTTTCATTTATTTGTTTGCTGTTTGTGTTTCTTTATCTGAGAAGTATGTATTTATCTCAGATGCTCATTTTTGGATTAAATCTCTAAATTTGGGAGATCTGATTTTTTTTTTTCTTTTTGTGTTTTTTGTATGCTCTCGATAGTAATCTTTTGTCTGAAAGACGAGTGGTGAACATTTTTTTCCCAGATTGTAGGTCTGTTGATGATTTGCTGTGCAAAAGCTTTTTAATAAGATGAAGTCCCAGTTGTTGATTCTTTGGGATGGTTCCTATGCCATTGGGGTTTTACTCATAAAGTCTTTGCCTATATCTGCATCTTAGAGAGTTTTAACAGTTCTTAAAGCTGATTTAATATTTCTGTTTTAATGTTTAGATCTTTATTTCAAACTTAGTTTAGTGCATGGCAAAAGATACAGGTCCCGTTTTAACCCTTGACATGTGAAAATCCAGTTTTTCCAGCACCATTTATTAAAGAGGCTATCTTCCAGTGAATGTTTGGCACCTTTGTCAAAGATAAGGTGACTGAGTATGTCTTGTGATGTTTCTGCATGTTCCGATCTATTCCATTTATCTTTAGATCTGTTTTCTTTTCTTTTTTTTGTGGGGGGGGGTACCGAGGATTGCACTGAGGACCCTGTGCTTGCCAGGCAAGCACTTATTCTACTGAGCTATCTCCCTGGCCCTTCAGGTCTGTTTTCTTATAGTACCACAATGTTTTTAATCACAGTAGTTTTATAGCATAATTTCAGCTTGGGGATTGTGATGCCCTGTTTCTTGCAGAAGGCACTTAAAAAGAGTCACCTACTTGCTTTTGAAATATTTGCTTCATCATATTGCTGTAGCCATGAATGCTGTTTTCTTTCCATTAAAAGGCTTTGGGAGGACTGGGGAGTTGGCTCAGTGGAATAAGCACTTCCCTGGCAAGTACAAGGGCCTGAGTTCAATCCCTGGTTCTGCAAAAAAAAAAAAAAAAAAAAAAAAAAACAAAAAAAAAAAAAAAAAAAAAAGCTTTGGGGAAAAAACTTATATGACATGAAATTAGTTTTTGTACAACAGAAATCCCAGAGACCAGTGGTCCCCATCATTTCAGTTGATTATATTGGCTGAAAAAAATTGGTGAAAGAAAAAAATAATGCTCTTCTAGTCTAGTAACTCCAGTAATACAATAGAAAGTGGTAGTGGTTTTCTTATCTTCTTGGAAAAATGGATTAAAAATAGGAAAGAACTCGGCTTAAAGTCATTTATTAACCTTGCCCTTTCTAACCAACTGCGAAACCATTGGCTTGGTCTGCAATAACTGAGACTATTGGCTTGGTCCTACAGTTTCAACTCCATGTGCTTTCTCTCCGTTGTAGCCCGAGGTCTGTGATATTGTGGGATCCAGTTCTTCTACAGATGACACAGTTTCCCTGGATCGACATTCTCCTCATGGCAGTGATGTGTCCCTCCCTCAGATTTCAAAGTTAAATAGGTCCAGAGATCAGCAAAGTCCTGATGGCTTCAGCTGTGATGTGGGCCAAGAAAATGAGAAAGAGCCTGCTACCCCTGTTGAGATTGAAGAGGAAGAAATGGACAGCATCACAGAGGTACCTGCAAAGTGCTCTGTGAGGAGGAGCTCCATGCGCTCATTGTCCCCTTTCCGGAGGCACAGCTGGGGTCCTGGAAAGAATGCAGCCAGTGATGCAGAAATGAACCACCGGAGGTAAGATGGTAGCACATTTATTTCATATCTCAATGTCTGTTTGCTTTTAACACGTGTCTAATCTGTTACCATATTGGTAAATTATTTTATGAAATACCATTGAAGAAGATACAATATAGGCTTCAAAATAATGAAGATTTGTGTGCAGATGCCTGCTGTACAACTTACAAGTAAATGACCTTGGGCAAGTCACTTGACCACTCTGTACTTTAATTTTCACATCTGAAATACTTGCTTTTCAAAATATTTATTTTTAAAAATTCTTATTAATTTATTTATTTGTTACAGGGTCTCACTATGCAGCTCAAACTCATAGTGATTCTCCTGTCTCAGCCTTCCTAGCACTGGGATGGATTACAGGCGTGTGCCACCATACCTGGTTTCAGGGCTGGCATGGCATGCGGTTCCAGCACGCTTGCCAGGCAGGCACTTCGACTGCTGAGTTATCTCTCCAGCCTCAAAATATTTATAATAATAAAGTGAAATATAACTCTCATAGTGAGCTTTTAATAAATGGTAGTGTTTATTATTACAGATTTGTTAGTGAAATTCATGAATGAATTAGAAATACTGGAGGAAAGGATTTCATGTCTTTTTTTTTCTTTCTATATTTAGGACAGGATCTACAGGGTCTCACTATGAGACCAACTTGTACTGATTCTCCTGTTTTTAGCCTCCCATGTGCTGGGATTACAGGCACACGCCACCATGCCCAGTCTTAATCGCAGTCTCAGTGAGCCCCAGGGGTAGGGCTGGCACAGCACTCTGGGGATTGAACCCTGGCTGCTGCACTCTGCATATGCAGGTGCTTTAGTCTGCTGAGCTGTCAGGCTGGCCCTTCATGTCAATTTTTAATTAAGAAATAAACATGAAGTTATTACAATTAAGTTATTCAGAATGCTTTCTGAGAATTAGAGCCTTCTGTTTCTAATGCAGAAAATTTTGATAAGGTCTAACTTATCTATGTCTCATCCTTCCAACAAGAATAAGTCTAATGTCATATCATAAAATTGTTGGTATTTGCTTGTGTGTCATTCATCTTGGGGACTTTCACAAGTGCTATCCCATTTTAGTCCTTCACTTTGATAATACTTTATCGGAAAGATTTGTTAGATTGGGGCTGGGGAGATGGCTCAATGGAATAAGCGCTTCCCTGGCAAGTGCAAGGGCCTGAGTTCAATCCCTGGTTCCGCCAAAAAAAAAAAAAAAAAGATTTGTTAGATTGATTTGGCTTCCTTATCAGCTGCGTTGGTAAATTTCTTTTCTTTTTTTTTTCTTTTTGCGGAACCGGGGATTGAACTCAGGCAGGCCCTTGCGCTTGCCAGGGAAGCGCTTATTCCATTGAGCCATCTCCCCGGCCCCTGCATTGGTAGATTTCTAAGCAGATGCTTTTAACTCTAAAGAATGAGTAATATAGTATCCACTGTATTTACCAGCTTACAGTTACTCCAGAGTTACCATCTGAATCAAATAAATCAGATAAGAGGATTTCTATGGTTTTTTTTTTTAAAAAAAAAAGACCAACCAAACAAAAAACTAATGTAAACAATTCAGCTAGATCAATTATTTTGATTAAATTCCTGTTTTCATAAGATCATGGCTGACTGTAAGTGCATGTCATATAATCACATTCATTCAACGAGTATATATTGAACAGTGTTTTACACTGTGGAGCCACAGGTAAACAGGATAAAGTTCCTGCCTTCATGGAGCTCCCAATGATGCCTTCCACTTTCGTAGTTTGCTCATTTTTTCAGGCTCCTTTTAACAACACATTATCTCGTTCAATTTTGTAATCCTCTCCATGCATCAAGTGATGTGTTTACAGTAGAGAAGACTAGTGCAGATAGCTTATATCGTTCAGCCAAGGTCAGTAGAATGCAGGTTTCTGGTCTCTTAGACCAATACTTTTTGTACAATTCTGTATTTTTCTATAGTGGAGTTGAGGATGTAAGTCTGAAAAATAAGCAACATTCTTAACTTATTTTTATGTATTCTTAAATGCCAGGTTGTACAGAAATGAATTTCTAAATGCTTTCCTTTGCAATTTTATACTTGGTGTACTTTTTTTAAGGGATTCACAACAAATAGATAGATAGATAGATAGATAGATAGATAGATAGATAGATATGGATGATGGTCCCTACACAGAATTTTCTTTGTGAAGCAAAGAAAATTTCTTGATAGTTACATCCTTCTCTTAATCAGCAACAAAGAAAGAATATTTATGTAATCAGTTTTTCTTCATAACCCACTATGGGCCATAAGTCATGACTGTTTTCATTTATATGTGTCTATTTCCATGGTGTGGCTCAGATGAGGAAATTGAAGCTCAGATTAAATGATGTGCCCAAGCATGGTGATTTTTAAGACTGGGCTGGCACTAGAACCCTCTTGCCAAAGTCACTTATATTTTTATTTTGCATGTTGTAGCATTGCCTGTTTGAATTTAGTTTTAAGGATTACCTTGCACCTCTGCCTCAGTACTTCTGGAGGTAATGGAATGAGACTTTAACATTTTAATTATTTGATTAATTCTTATGGTACTACCTGTGTATAGTATAACCTGAATTTTAAAAGTTCTAAAGAAAACACTTTTAAGGTTATGAGGGATATTTTCCTTACTTATGTATAAACTTCAAAACTTGTCATGTCATTAACTCCTTTGAGCAAGGAGGAAGCCAAGTAACCCTTCACAGAAATCATCAGGCCTTTTGGTTCTCATATTTTTCTCATCCTGCATTCTTTCATTCCCTTGCCTCCTGTGCTGTTTGTCTTCGGGCATTGCCTCTCTTCCCATTGTGATACCTGTATGTTTCATGCATTTGTGTCCCATTTTGTTTCACTCTCATCACTGACCTCTTCCACCATTCATTTTCAGTTCAATTCGAGTTCTTGGGGATGTTGTCAGGAGGCCTCCCATTCATAGGAGAAGGTACAGAGTTCACTACCTTAATGGACTAACCGTGCTGCCTCTGAGCATATACTAACATTCATTTTGCTTAATCCATGGCTGGATATTTTGTTCGTGGATTTTTGGTCTGGAGTGGTGCTGAAGATTGAATTCAGGGCCTTGCACGTGTTCGGCAAGTATTCTACTGAGCTACACCCCACTGCTCTGGACAGTCTATTTCTATTTCAGGCAAATAAAATATAACATTTATTAATTGTTTATGTCTATTCCATATAAATTGTTTTTCCTGTTTTTTAAACTTTTTGTTAAAAAATGAAGTACATTTTCTATGAGATAACTTTGATAACTTTTTCTAGGAGAATTAAAAAGACCTGGAGATACTCCCCTCCTTCCCTGAAAAGAAGAGTCAGAAATATGTGTGTGCTCACACAAAAGTGTTTAAATATTTTCAATACATTCCCTAATAATACAAGAACTATGTGTAAGAGGCTGAGGCAGGAGAATCACTGTGAGTTTGAGGCAGCCTGGGTTACATAGAGGAGTTTAAGGCAAGCCTAAATACATAGTGAGACTCTCTCTTTCAAGAAATAAAAAAATTGAGAGATTTTTATCTTGTGACCACTTGGCAGTTTCCATTCCATTGTTGACTTAGTGATTTCAAAAAGTATTTAAGAGGCATAACTAGTCTCTCTTGGTCTTTGAAATTCTTTATTTATCAGGTAAAATTTTGAAGCTTACAAGTAAGTGATTTATAAACTGAAAAGCTATTTCTAGTCAGAAATTGATAAGGTGGGGAAGGTGGTTCTATTATTCAGGAGTCACTTGTGATTTTTTTTCTGTTGTTTGAAAAATAAGTGTAAGAAATCCAAAAAGTTTGCTTCTATTGTTGTCAGCTTCTTGAATTAAGAAACATTTATAAGGAATTATTTTTATCTGTTAGTTAAATTAGTTTATTAGAAGCAGACACGTGATCTTCCTGCTTCTTCAAGTGGATGCCACCTTTAATTCCAGCTTTTAGGTAAAATATTGAGCTTAAATTTAAAACAAGCAAAGTTATGTTGCTTTTCGAGGAACAAGTTGTTTTAAAAGCCTTCAATAGAAAGTACCTAAAACCTGTAGAATTGTAGTTGTTGGCTCTCTATTAAAAATTTCTCAAAAAATAAAAATTTCTCTGTGTGCGCTTGGGTGGCATATTCACAGGTGCAGTGCAAGTCTGCATGTAGATAGAACTGCCATAAACAACTCTGGTTACAGTTTTTCCCTTAATGAATCATATGCCCCACGCTTTATGCAGGGAAAACATGATATATAATCTACAAGTTTATAAAACTGAAAAATATCCAACAAGTATTTGAGGGAAGGAGTGATGTTTAAAAAATCTGCAACTTGGGGCCAGGGAGAGGGCTCAGTAGGATAAGTGCTTGAATGGCAAACGCAAGGATCTGAGTTCAATCCCCAGCTCTGCAAAAAAGAAAAAAAATCTGAAACTTCCTAAATCTCAAAATCTAAGAATCATTCAGTATTATCTCTGCTAATTAAGGAAATGGGAATAATTTGAAAAATGCTCCTAATTATGAACATAACTTAACAACTGGGACTCTGTATGTATGTTTGTAAAACATATCTTCCTTTTACCTGTACAAGTATATTTTAAGTTAATCTGATCTCCTTGCCAGACTAGAGGTATATTTCAGCTGTATATTTTTTCCTTTCTACTTTTGTACTTCTGGACCTCAAACTATTTATTCTTGATTTAAAATGTTTTACGCTATTTCAGTTATTTTTGAAAGACAAAAATTGCCTGCTAGGAAAACTGTAGCAGGAGCTACAATATCCTCCCACCATTTTCTTCTTGCCTTTTCTGTGCCCAGACCCTCACTTGGCAAGTGGTTGTTCAGTGGATTAGAGAGAGGTGTTCTGGTGTGTGCAGGCCTTTCCATCTATGCAGTCAAGTAGGGGCCTGAGTGGTTTTGCAGCAGCAGTGTGAAAATGAAAACATATCACTTAGAACTTAAAGCCCAAATAGCATCAGTGACTTTTAAGTGTTGACTTGTTAATCAAAACACCAATAGGAGGGCTGGCCAGATAACTCAGTGGACTAAAGTGCCTGCTTAGGCAGAGCGCAGGGGCTGGGGTTCCATCCCAGGCACCACAGGCCGTCCCAGCCCCGTCCCCCGGGCACACTGAGACAGTGATTGAGACTGGGCGTGGTGACACGTGCCTGTAATCTCAGCTCTAGGGAGACTGGAAATAGGCGGATCACTATGCATCTGATCTATATAGTAAGACACTGTAGACCTTGTACTAAATACAAAAAAAAAAAAAGACAAATAACACCAATAGGAGTAGGAATGTAGCTTTAAAAAAGAAAAACCACAACCTGACCTATTGATATTAATTCCCTTTACAGAGTATCTGATGTTTTAAATTGTTTTAAATCATTAATTAATTAATTTAGTACAAGATTTCACTACACAGCTTGGACTCGTAGTGATCCTAGTGTCTCAGTCTCACGAGCTCTGGGATTACAGATGTGTGCCAACACGCCTGGTTTCAGTGGCCAAGACTACATGGCATAGCATGTGGCATCAGGAATAGAACCTGGGTCCTTGCGCATGCCAGGCAGGTGCTTAGACCACCGAGTTAACTCCCCAGCCCAAGTATCTGATATTTTGATTTTTTTTTTTTTAAGGTGCTTATATTTATTTAGCCTCTTCAACTCCAGATTCTCTTTCGCTACTATGGTTAATCAAGGAAGTAATGGATTTTTAAAAATCTTATCAGAGCTCAATACTATGGAATTCTAGAAGGAAAAAGAAATCCCCTAATTATCACTAAAATACAAGAGAATACGGCCATTGTTACATGATTTATTTTTAGCATAACAACCCAGTGAGTAGCTTTTAAAAAGAGGATGAGGTAGGAGAAAAACAAATTTGAGGATACTCTGGGCAAATTAGTGAGACTGTATCTCAAAATTAAAAAATCGAAAGGGCTTGAAATGTAGCTCAGTGGTAGATTGTCTATGTATGTGCTGGAGGCTCTGATTCAGTTTCCAGTAGTACTGCCAAGAAAAGTAATAAAGATGAATACGAACTTGACTGTTATGTAATATTCACGAATGGTATGATTTAATTGGATCCTTAATGGAAACACATGAAAAAATAGGAGAGCTGAGCTCACCTCAACACAGGTTATCACCTCTTTGTATAGTCCAATTAGAGGTGCTATGTAAGTCAACCTAGGAGAAGGGAGTACAGTGAGATTTTCCCAGTAATCGGTGTTAAATGACTTCCAGAGGCAGTCTGGATAGGAATCCACAAGTAGGTGGGCTCATTACCCAAAGATTACTAAAATAAATTCTTGGTTTTCTTGTAAAGTTTATGTTCTTTTTCAAAACTCTGTCCAGATGACTATCAATAGAATAGTATGTTAGTGTGTAGTTTAATCTAGCCTTTTATTAAATTCTCAGTGTTGCATTTCTGATTTTTCGACAAGTATATCTGTCTGTCTAACTGTGCCCTTTCTTTTTGAACCTAGTAGCCCTATACCTGTTTTCACTTTTCTTCCTCATTTGTTTCTGCCTTTGATGTCACCCCCAGTATGAGCTGGTGTCCTTCTGGTGTGCAATACTCTGCTGCCTTGAGTGCTGACTTTAATTACAGAAGGTATAGTATCGTTACATGTGTGGCCACCAAATGGGGAGTCATAAAGTAGGTCGTCTGGCTTTCGCTTGGAGCTGGCTTCTGTGTGGCTAGAATGTGTATCAGCAGCCTGCTATGTCTGTGTGTTCTGTTGCCTCTGTGATAGGCATCACTAAACCACCTGGCAGGTTGTCCTGGTAACTCAGTGATAAGGCCTTGATGCATCATATTTGTTTAAAATGGGTATACATTTAGTGTTTCTGCATAGACCTGTCTCTGGAATAGCCAGTCTTTGCTCTGGGCTGTCCAAATTCCCAGGTCCTTAACAGTAACGAGAGCAGCAAACTGCTAATGAGATGTACTGATTTCTGGTTTGTTTCCAAATCCATTGCTATCTGTAGAGCCCACAATCAGCAAACTCTTTGTTTCATGTTCTTCTCTCAACCGCCCAGCCAGATTTAATTACTAAAACATTTTCAGGGTTAACTGTTGTGGTAAGCATAGATCTGGTTCTCTCTAGCTTTTTAAATCATTCACAGTACAGAACTAAATTTATTCTTCACTTAGCTCCTCTTCTTATCCCTGCTATTGAAAATGACTTTTACAGACACTTTTATTCTTAGTCATGATTTCTGTTATTTTGAAATAAGAAAAACTAACCCATTATTTAATTTACCCAGTAGAAAAAATACATATGGCATATGGTTTTAATTTGTAATAAGTAACTTATGAAGCAGAAAAGAAAAAAGTCAAATAGAAGTGCTTCTGGTATGTGACTTAATTGTCACTTAATTGAACTTAATTGTCACAGTTACCTGTAGTGTTTTCCTAGAGTGAAAGTAACTAAATACAGTAGGTTCAGTGTACCTCAAAATAACTTTCCAGCAAATTGTTAACTGAGGATCCCCTACTACAGATGTATTTTGAGATTTTGCATATTTTTAAAGTCCCTGCTGAGGCCACAACAAATATAAATTACCCTAATTAGCAGCTCGAAAGAGAAAAATAAGGCTCTGTAGCCTCTTGCCAGCAGGACATGTTTTTTGCTTTGCAAACCAGAAAATCTTTATCCTACAGATCCCTCCTAAAATTTCATACCCAGTTGGATTTTTTTCTTCTACTCATACCAACACAAAGATTAAAACTTTTAGCCTCACTAGCTTTTCAGCATTTGTTCTTTAAGGTGTAATATGTGCATGTCCGCAACTAACAGTTCTTAGGCAGCATGTTAGTAGTTGTCTTCTGGGTGTGCAGAAATGGTAATGACCATGAGTAGCCAAGGGTGCTTTGGATGGAACCACTACTGTAGAGAGTTCTAAAGGTCAATTAGAGAATAGTTCATTGTAAAGCTACAAACTCCACCTAATGGAGACAGGGCAAGTCACCCAATTTTTCTTTTGAAAGTTACTTATGCTCATATTTTCTTAAAACTTGTCATTACAGTTAGGTTACGGCAAAAATTAGTCATATCAGATGAATGAAAAGCATCCATATGTGAAAATAAGAGAAATATGTTCTGTCCATCTGGTATATTGAAAGAAAATTATCTTAGCTGGTTCAACATTTAGATAGATGGAACAAAGTAAGAGAATCTATGAACAATGTATTTTCTCAAATACATATTTGAAGGCCTTGGCAGGTGGTGGTACTCATTTGTGCTGTGCCCTGTTAGTTTTGCTAGGTGACGTAGAAATAGCATATCAACAAGGGAGATACAACTAAAGAGATTTGGGGTCCTCCTTCCATTGTGAGACTTAGAAATACAGTGAATTAACGCTTATGCTCTGTGTTCAGTTTCAGTCTGGAAGGCTTAACAGGAGCAGCTGGTATTGGAAATAAGCCGTCCTCATCTCTAGAAGTTAACTCTGCAAACTCGAAAGAGCTCAGACACCCTTTCAGTGGAGAGGAACGAGGTGACTCTTTGGTGTCACTTTCAGAAGAGGATCTGGAGTCACACCAAATAGAACATGGAATGTTTGATCAGCAGGTAAGACTGAAATAGGTGTATATTACTAATTTGGAAAAAGAAATTATGTTCTAAAGTACAAACATATTTTAAGAACATTAAAAGGTAAGACGTCTGTTAGTATAAAGCTAGTAGCCAAGACGACTACCAATTAAATAATATATTCAATCATTAAAGCACATATATCTATTAATGTCCTCTTCAGCCATTCTCTTTGAAGGTCATGACCTGGCTTCTAGGTCAAGTGATTTCATTCATAGTTACCACTTTTTCACACACTTTTTAATATTTGGGGCAGGTTTTTTTTGTGTGTGTGGAATCGGGGATTGAACTCAGGCCCTTGCTCTTGCCAGGGAAGAGCTTATTCTACTGAGCCATCTCCCCAGCCCCTTGGGCAGTTTTTGAGGTAAGAATTTTTTTTTTTTTTAACCATTCTGCCTTTTCCTTATTTTTTATTCCTCCTTTTTGATGAAGACTATTTTTTTGAAAGGATTACTCTTAATTCATCTAAAGGAAACATATCTAATTAAACAAATAAGTAAAACTCCTATGTTTGAATAGGAATTTTGAGTACAGATCTAATAAAATTAACAAAACTATTAACTTATTCTTTGACTTGATAGCTGTGGGTTTTGTATAGAAATTTAATTCTTTGTTGTGTCCTACTACCTGTCAGTGCCACGACCACAAATTTGGCACTGAAAAATTACCTTAGTAGTGAATATCATTTGTACTCATGTGAAGCCAGGTGAATAAAGATAACATAGGCCTAGTGAAAATCAAATTTAAGATCTAAAAAAGCATTCTCACATTTTAAAAAGTTTCTGCTTGGTCTATTATATTAGAAAAAAGTATAGAAAATATACTTTATGAAGTAGGTGGTTTAAGTTTGTTAAGCCTAATGGTAACAGAAAAATATGTTCGGTGGTTAATTAGTATAGCTTTGATAAAGGTAAATAAACCCATGAAATCTGAAAAATAAATTGCGTTTCACATGTGTAGAATCCTTAGGAGATCATTTTCAAAGCTAGGGAAAATATAAAAATTGTGGATTTGTTAATAAAATCATCAACATGGAGTCAGTGTACTAAGTGAGAGCTTCAAGCCTGTGCAAGTAACTTGGCTAATCTACATAACTTGTGGCTGAACAGTATTAAACTCAAAATTCCTGACTGCTTCATTCCATGTCTTTAAAATAGATACATTTTAATGAATAAATGAGGTTATTTCAATTTTCTCTATATATTCTGTATATATATATGTTGTTTACATATTCTATACATATTTATATTTTCTTTTGTAATTTATTTTGTAATATATTTTCTTTGTAATTTATATTTGTATACCTTTTGTGTGATATACATATTTTTCTTTTATGTGATATATTTTTCTGAGGCTGATACTTGATATTTGTGAGTCTGAATTTAACAGATGACCTTATCTTTTAGTGATTGACATCCCATTGATGTCTTTCTAAAATGGATTTCCTGGCTTAGTTTTTTTTTAAGTCAACATTTCTGGATTAATGTCAACATTTTGGTGCCTTGCTTGCTGTGCATAGCCTCTAGAACTCTGCTTACCCATGGTTTTTCATCTGGTGTGCAACCTCATAGTGGGTATTTGAGTTGCTTGTATTTGTGTGACCTGCACAAGTTGCATGTAGCTGACTTCTATTGGAAGTCCCTGCCTTTCACTAAGGTTATTTTTCAGACCCCAGAGTTGTATTTAGATTTCATGGTTAGTTGGAATCTGAGCATGCAACAAGCTCTAAATAATCAGGAGACTTTGGTTCACTTAAGTTAATGCTAATAATGGATTTTTAGTGCTTCGCTTTCATATATGAGTTAGGAGACAGATTTCATTCTTCTAATTATGATAATTAATATTGGTAACAGAATGGTCTCTCTCAAAAAGGGTGAGAGACCTTATCAACAGTGTGACAGCTGCCGTTCAGGGGTGTTGGCAAGGAACATCTGCAGTTGGTATTATTACACAATCTTGAAGCCATTGGGAATTTGAGAAGGGCTTTAAACTATCCATTTCAGTCACTCTCATCTTCATGGAGAATCAGTCTATGACCTTAATAAACAAAGATGAAAAAGATTTGAGCTTTTTCCCCAGATGCATAGCTGTTTTTATATTTATTTATTTATGCATCTTTTTTTTTATGTATTTGGTTAGGGCCTCACTATGCAGCTCAGACTCACAGTGATCATCCTACTTTCAGCCTCCCAAGTGCTGGGATTATAGTGCACCACCACACCCAGATGCAGTGGCTGGCTCAGCACACTTCAGGGCCGGGCTGGCCCATGTGGTGCTGGGGTGTTTTATTTTTTATAGCTGTTTTGCATATGATCTTGAAACACTTTTTACTTTGATAGCAGTTTCTTGCTCTTTAAAATCAGAGTAATATTGCTAATATACTACTTAAGTATATCACTATAGGGGTTTAGATTTCAAGAAACAAGTACTATAGGTAGTTTTTTGTTTGTTTGTTTGTTTGTTTGTTTGTTTGATGTATTTAGTCCAGGATCTGGGCTTGCCACCCCAGATACAACTCTGGAGTCTGGTGGCGCGCCACCATGCCTACTCTCAAACACCATCTCAGCGTGCCGCAGAGGCAGGGCTGGCATAGCAGGTCAGAGATCAAACCCCCAGCCCCTGTGTCTACCTAAGCAGGCACTTTAATCTGCTGAGCTATCTGGCCGGCCCAGTAGATGGTATCTTAAGTGAAATTATTTTTATTGGATTGCACTATATCCAGCAGGTACTTACTCAATACTTAAACTTGAAATGTTGCTAGGTACTGTGAGGGATGTAGAGGATGAGTACTAAATTGTCCTTATATGTGATTGAAATACTAAGACTCAGACAAACTGAGTACCTTCTCTAAAGTTAAGCAGATGTCAAATGGTGGAGCAGACTGGAATCCAAGTCTATCTGACTGGGAAACATGCTTTTCTCCATCCTCTTACTCTGCATTATTTCACTGTGTTATGTACAAGTATTCTGTGCTTATCCAGAAGTATTAGAACATGTACTGAGAACTTGTTCTTTCTTTTTTTACTTCAGACATACCACAGATCTAAACAACAGGGATTTAATTACTGTACATCAGCCATTGCTTCTCCATTGACAAAATCCATCTCCTTAATGACAATCAGCCATCCTGGATTAGACAGTGAGTATACTACTTTTTCGAAAATGAAATATGTCCTAACCTTATCACTTTATCGTTTAATTTTAATGCCCTATGATGTTACCTTCCAAAACTTAGCTACCTCTTAACAAATGGCTAACACTTAAACAGAAAAAATAGCAGCTTTGAGCTCACCTCCTTTTGCTACATCAAAAATCTTTAATACTTTAAGTTCATTATAATCTGAGGTATGAATATAACAAAAATTTTTTTGACTTTTTTATTTTTAAATAAATTTAGACTTGGGAAATAGTTGCAAATGACCCACAGTGCAAAGAATTAAGTATATTCTTTACTTGCATTCCAAAATGTTTATCATACCACTTTATTTTGTTAGCCTTCCTGTCATTCCTTTTAAAGATTTTTTTCTGAAATGCCAATAGTGTAGTTATCTTAGTCAGGAAATTAATATTAAGAGAATGTTGTTACCTAATATGCAGAACTTAAACTCTTCCTAGGTTTAGGATCCAGGATAGGAGCATAATTGTATCTTTTGTATCCTTTATTCTAGAATTATTCCTCATTTTATCTTGGTCTTTAATGAGCTCAGCAGTGGAGAAAGCTGACAAAGTAACTGAACTATGCATTTCTAAAATGTCCAGTTCCTGAAGGACAGAGAAAGATTGGAGATAACATATTTTGTTTGAGCAGGTGCTAAATGGTTTAGATATGAAAGTGACTAATACAGCTTAGTATCTGTTGGCTTTGAAGGATATGTTGATGTATTGTGGCATCCATAAACACTGGGGGTTTGTGAACCATGGGTACTCAAAAACATGTTTGAATTGAATATTTATTTTAGAAAAGCAACTTGTTAGCTGGGCATGGTGGCACTCACCAGTAATTCCAGCACTAGGGAAATGAGGCAGGAGGGTCTCAGGCTCGAGAGCAGCCTGGTCTAAATAGTAAGACTTTTAATCTCAGAAAAACCAACAACAACAAAAATTGTTCCTTGAGAGACCCCATTTGTTTGATATTGATTTTTATTAGTACAGCATGGTTAATCTTGATACAGATCTTAAACTAAAGGAGAAAAGTATGTTATTGTCAACAAAACAGGTTTTCTGCAGGCTGAGACAAGAGTAAACATAAGCTGCTAATGTGTGTTTTCAGTGTATCATGATATACTTCATTTTAAGAGCCAGAAGTAGCTGCCCCACATTAATGGGGTTTTCTGTTTTATCTCATGGCTTACAAGAGAGCTAATCTTTTCATTTTTTCACAGTGGCCTTCAGACATGGTGGCTCTATTAAATTTGTCCTTATTTTCATATGAGTAATATTTAGAATACAAATCTGTGTCTAATGGTGACATATACTCAGAGATATAGGTAAAACTTCACAGAACTGTGACAGGCACAAACGTAGCTTTTCCTGTTTTTGTTTTGTTTTGTTTATGTATTATGTACAGGGTCTCACTACACAGATTGGACTCACAGTGATTCTCCTGTTTTCAAAGCGTCCCATGCGCTAGTATTGCAGGTGCACTCCACCACGCCCAGTCTCTGTCACAATCTCAGCATGCCCTGGGGGCCAGGCCAGCACACTGGGGATCAAACCCCTTGGTTTTGTTTTTATTTAGCTTTGAGTTAGAGGTTCTGCTAGTGAAGAATGGAAGTGATAACTAAGCAGTGATGGTGGATTTGATGAGCCAGGGTTGGAGCTCAATAGTCAAACACAAACAGGATAGGTAGTAGTGAGCTGTCTGAGTGCTGTGTGCTCTACTTCCATCATCAGCAAGTGTTGTGGGGCAGTGAGTTTACTCCTATAGCAGTAAATGGTGCCAACAAAACAATTCTCACCCAGAGATCTTTTTCCTACCTTACATGACATACTCTTTTTCCTCACAGATGAAATACTTCATTATTTTTCCTCCAAAAAGCAAGATGTATTTTGACTGTGTGTTCATTTGCTATTCAAACACCGGAAAGTGGCTTACACTCTGAAAACACTGTCCTAGGTGTTCTGGCAGATGGAGTATTTCTTCCTATTGTTGAGAAATTTCTGCTCATCTCTCCAGACTTGAAATCACTAGTAGGCTGCCATAAAAATAGACTTTTAAGCAAAAGTGTAGTCCTTCATCAGTGTGTAATATCTTCGTGGTTTGTAATATATACTTTATGCAGGTTTGAACAGTCACTAGTCCCACTTCTCCAAATTAGTATAAATTACATTTACAAGGTAAATCAGCTTTTTTTGATGTCACAATTTCTCCTTAATGCTTCCCATACACAATTTTTAAGTTTCTCAACTATATTTCTTATTCTTTAGAAAAATGATGACTCTTTTTGGAAATGTTAAAATTCTGACTAAGATTGATTGATACTTGTATAAAAGTTTGTATGGTTATTCCTTAAACATCAGGATAACTAGATATTTCATAGTCTATCACCAAGTCAGATTTCTGATTCCAAATCACTTAGTACTGTACATGATTCATCTTTGATCATAGTCTTAACTATATCATCATTAAAAATCTCAACTTAGAGGGTCAGGGAGATGGCTCAATAGAATAAGAGCTTCCCTGGCAAGTGCAAGGGCCTGAGTTCAATCCCTGATTCCACCAAAAAAATAAAAAGTAAATAAAAATAAAAATCTCGACTTAATTTTTAAAGCCTAAAATGTTCCATAAATTTGAACTATTTCAACTGATTTTTGTTGTAAGTGTATCTAGGGGCTATGTGACTTAGAACTTTGCTGTAGAAACTCTGCCTCAGTCAATTTGGTGGAGGTAATAATGTGATATGTCTTAAATCTTAGCATACTGTGTATTGTAAATAAAAATTTATCTTTATGGAATGTAGTAATTTACAGTGACCACAATAGTATCAACGCTTGTTTTTGCCTGACCAAAATTTAACCAGTGTTAAAGAAGCGTGGACACCACCCCTCATTGTTTCGCAGGTGTCTGTGTCTTAGGAGCAGGCTTGTTTAGGCACAAAATGTTTTCTGAAGTCATACCACACTGCTTCCCAGCTTTTATTTGCCTGTGCCCTGTCTTTTCTTTCTGAGGAAATCACTAACTGCTGCTTCCACTATTACAAACATTTGAATAATTTTGAAATTATTCAAACACTGAGCTGTTGTCAATAATAACTTTTTGGGTTGACTATGACATTAGTAAAAACTGACAAACTTTTCAGCATTATTTCTGAGCTGGGACCTTACTTCAGTCTCCACTGATGTAAAAGAAAATATTGAATAAAGTGGGAGACTAAACTATTTCTGATCTTTCCTGGGGTTGGAAGCAGTCACACTGGAGCTGTTGTGTTGCAGGAAAAGCTGTGTCTACCCCTGTTTGGCTGTGGAAACATGACAAATACGTTTTGCTGGATCGTTTTTTTTGTTTGTTTGTTTGTTTGTTTGTTTTTTAATTTTCCTCCAGAGGAGTCAGCACAACAGAGTACTGGCAGACCAGTACCATGCCTGGAACAACTGGGCTGTGTGAAGCAGTTACAGATAGGCTCATGACATCTCTTTTCATATCTAACGTGGGCCTGGGGGGGGGGGCCTGTGTTTCCCATTGAGATGGGAAACTTTGATGGTTTCTTGATAGAATGTAAGCATAAACTTTATACTTGCATATACAGAATAATCCATTTCTTATAAATAATTCCTTTCCATGACTTTATTTTTTATTTATTTATTTTTTTTGCTTTTATTATTTTTTCTCATCGAGAAATAAATATGAATGAGATAGTTTCAAAGCTGATTAATAGGACAGTTTTGATAATCAATACACAGTACATTGTTATCTTCTTTATTTTCTATTTTTATTTTTATATTTTTTGGTAGAACCAGGGATTGAACTCAGGCCCTTGCGCTTGCCAGGGAAGCGCTTATTCCACTGAGCCATCTCCCGGTCCCATGACTTTATTTAAACTTTGCCTTGCTTATACTCAGAAGAAATTGATTGACTGCAACCCAGAACTCTTTAAGTATAGTAGTAATGACAGTACTTAAAGAAGAATTTTATCCATTAGATTTTTTTTTTTGTTTCCCCATAATTTTACTGAGAAACAAATAGCAATGAGACAGTTTCAAACCAAATTAACCAAATTGGTAGGACAGTTTCAATAATTAACACATTGCATACATTCTTCCTAGTGGATAATTACTGTACAAGATGTGGACATGATATCTTATTTACAAACACTATTAGAACAATTCCCACTGTTCATTAAGAGAATGTAACTATATATCTGTCCTAACCATTTTGAGTATACAGATACACAATGGACATTCATCTGTATACCTTTTTTTGTTAAGTTCCGTTACTTGAATATTATAGGTATGTTAACTTAGCAAAATATTCTAAAAGAGTTCAGTAGTCCATAATAATATTAGATTTTCCACTTGACTGGCAGTGTCAGAAATTGTTGACCTGAGTCCCCTACAGCTCAACATAACACCATGGCTTTACTTCTTATACTTTGTTTTTATATTTTTTCTGCTGGATGATTAAGACCAAGGTAAAGTAGGACCTGTGCAACAATAGTTGTAGCTTTTGGGTCTGATAAGGTCAGTGAAATCCCCTCAGGATTTATCCTGAAATCCTGTACCTCAGATTGTAGATGCTTTGTCGGTGTCAACCATATGGATGAATCACGGGAGTTGCTTGGCCAATGTGCTCTCTGTGAAAGCCTGAGAGAATGTTTTCTCTCCATGTGACTCTCCTTAGGCACACTCTACATCACCAATCACTTTCCTCTTTGGCCCCATAATCTCTTTGATCAGAAAACTTGGGACACCACCGAGTTACATGACATTACAGTACAAGTTCTCATATGTCCTGAGTCTTAATTGACCTT